AGTCGTTGCTCTATTTCTTTCGCAGCCAGATCCTGTTTCACTTTAAAATTGCTTCCGTCGCCGCTTTCTCATAATTTATCTCTAGAGAGTTCCCTGCCGCGGATTCTATGGCATCATTAACATGTGATACAGCTTTCACTGTCTTCGTCGGCAATTCCGTGCTTGGTGCTCCTAAGTTCCTCGATTCAAATTCGTTTTGCCTGTTCCGCTGATTCTGCACCGCCGCTAATTCCAACTTATGTTTAGGGTGACTCTGGTCCTTGACCGCTTCCCAGAACAAGGGACAATCCATTCGGAAGTGCCCCTCCTGGTTACAGAAGAAGCATCTTGCGCCTATCTTGATGATTAAGCCACTATAGTACTCGTGTTCCTCCATCTGGCTCATGTCCTCCTCATCTGGTGCATATCCTAGACTCTTCATGCCTTGTTTGTATGTTGTGCAGTCAGCCACGTGGTGATCCGCCGACCCGCAGTTCGCGCATGATCTGCGCTTGTCCATGTCGTCTCTAGGTTTGTACCATGACGACCTCTGCGGTTGACTTCCCCCTTGCGTGTTCCTGTTTTCTGAATACGAGTATTTCTTGGGTTTCATCAGCATGTATTCCCTTGATTTCTGTCTCATTTCTTCTGGGGTTGGTGCGCTGTCTTTCGACAATGTGTAGTATGTTGCTAACATTGTCCTTAAGTCGTCACTTTTTACCCCATCAATGAACTTCGAGGCAATGCTAAAGTTTCTTCTGTTTGTCGACTCCTCTGGGTCACTCCTTCTTCTCAAGCTCTCTAGATCATCTAAGAACCGATCTATTGACTCGTCGTCCCTCTGCCTTCTCTTTTCAAATCGCATCATCGCTTGGTGACCCTTCATGCCTGACCCGAATCGATTCAGCAATATCTTGAAGATCTTGTCCGCGGTATCGCGTTCTTCTTCTTTCTTCGCAACCACGCATTTTAATGCTGTGCCTTCTAAATTGCTGAGTATGGCTGTGCATGCTTGTCTTTCATCGTTCAAGTTGTCTTGCTCTAGATGTAATCTCATCACCTCCACCCACGTGTCAATGCATCCATCTGAGTCGTCTTTGAATTCTTTTGGCTTCTTGAATGTTTTTCTTGATTTCCCTTCTCTCCTATCGCTCGAGTTAGTGTTCCTCGTGGCGAAGGCCTCTAGAGTCCTGTTCATCATCTCCCAAGTGTTTGCCCATGTCATAGCATCCGGACCTGCGTTGCTGTTAGCTGTTGAGTCCCCCGGACCAGTCGTTGTACTTGACATTCCATTCTTCATGATTGTTTTAGCAGCTGTTGGTGCTATGCTCACCGTATCCCGGTTTAAGGGCAACGGTGTCGATTGCCGTTTGTTCCTTTGTGGTTCCACAAAGTCAACTCTGGTGCCTTGCGTGCGATCCGCTGCCGGTCTTTCTTGTGAGGTAGAATTACTCAAGATTGCATCCAATTTCACCTGTATTGCACACGAACTTTCGGCCTGATTTTTGCTCATTGTGTCCATTCTCTTTTCCAGGCTACCTAATTGGCTGTTGACATCATCATATCGGTTTTTTAACTGTTGCAAATCTTTTTTGATGTTCTTATCTCGTTCTTCATTGGTGGTTTCTACATTATCTGACATTTCCTTGAGTCTCTCTTCTGTTGCCTTGGCCAGGTTAAAATAACTATCCAGATACTCGTTTTTGTTGTATCTTAATTCTTTTCTTATCACTTCTCTGTCCTCTTTGCTGTGCTTCAGCTTTTTGTCGATCTGATTCAGTTTCGCCATCAAGTCACCTAGCTCAAGAGTAGCCTCTTCATGGTCAGCCGTCGGTTTTTCTTCGGCCGTCGCTTCTGCTCTAGTTTGTCCCTCTCTCGGATTGGCTTCTGTCGTCTTCGTGCTCACTGTTCCAAATGTTCGTGCTCTTCCAGCTTTTGGTTCTTCAGTCACGTTCTCTTTCGTTTTTATTCCGACCATCATCGCCAACCTTTCTGTAAAAGATGTCTTTTTTACTTGAGAGTCTTCTTCCACCGTTTCTTCGGTGTTGCCTATTGCATCTTCCACGTTGTCTATTGGTGAGAATTCTATGGGTTTCGAGTTTGGTTCTTCTGCATTGGGCATTGGAGTTGACTCCGTCGCTATTTTCCTTGTTTCATCTACACTTTGATCAGGTGTCTCTAGATCAATCTCGATGGTGGGTTCTACTCGTTCCCCTTCCATGCCCTCTCTTGCTCTCTCCGTTGTACTCCTTGTGCTGACCATGTTAACTGAAAAGTTCTTCTTTGTTATCTTTGGGCCCATTGATGTTGTTTTGCGTAGCGACGAATTATACTTTGCTTCGGTAGGTCTTTTTTCAGCTACCGGTACCCTGCTCCGCCTCATTATTTCTATTTACAATTGCTCTTATTTACAATTTTACTATATACACAATCCTATTCTAAGAATAAAATCTTTCGAGAAAAAAAAATTTCTTAAAAAAAAATATACAACGTGGTGAAAACCTTGTTTCAGTTCTCTTTATTAACTTTTCGAGAAACTTTTCTTATTCGTGGTCTCAACCGTACCTGGTTCCAATTAGTCTTGTTCTATCTTAATTCTATCTTAAAACACTTCTTGTAATTTTACTTCAATTTTTATACTGTCCCAAGACTTCCAATTGCCGTCCCTACTCTTCTTTGTACCCCCCCAGGCTTCTTTCTCCTGTCCCAAGACTGTTCGGTACCGTCCCAGTACTTTCCGGCAGTGTCCCAAGACTCTTGTCCAAGACTACTGTCCCAAGACTAGTGTCCCAAGACTAGTGTCCCAAGACTACTGTCCCAAGACTAGTGTCCCAAGACTACTGTCCCAAGACTAGTGTCCCAAGACTACTGTCCCAAGACCCTGTCCCAAGACCCTTGTCCCAAGACCCTCGTCCCAAGACCCTGTCCCAAGACCCTGTCCCAAGACCCTGTCCCAAGACCCTGTCCCAAGACCCTTGTCCCAAGACCCCGTCCCAAGACCTTGTCCCAAGACCCTGTCCCAAGACCTTGTCCCAAGACCCTGTCCCAAGACCTTGTCCCAAGACCCTGTCCCAAGACCCTGTCCCAAGACCCTTGTCCCAAGACCTTGTCCCAAGACCCCGTCCCAAGACCTTGTCCCAAGACCCTGTCCCAAGACCTTGTCCCAAGACCCTGTCCCAAGACCCTGTCCCAAGACCCTTGTCCCAAGACCTTGTCCCAAGACCTTGTCCCAAGACCCTGTCCCAAGACTGTCCCCAGACTGCTCTGTCCTAAGACTTCTTCGGCACTGTCCCAAGACTGTTGACAAGTGTCTGGGTGGTGGGACTTCTTTCCTCTTCGTTATGGGGACTTCTTGATTCGCCGTACCTTGTACCACCACTCAAGCTCTAGTAAAATTTTCCCAAAATCCTCTCTTAAAAGCCAAATGCTGACCCCCCTTTTTATTATTTCTCTTTTTGGCTACCTCTATTTCAATGTTCCAAGTAACTTGAGACCAAAACCTGTGCGCAGGTATCTTGTGATCACCTGTTCGTACAAAATTTTAACACAAATCCTCACCAAAATGCAACAAAAATCTAAGCAAGAAAAAGTAATAAAAACAGAAAGATGAGCCCACCTAAAATTCAAAGGTGACAAATGTCTACCTTCTATCGAAAAAAATGTCTGGTACCTAATTGCCACGCGTTTCCTTCCCCCCTGCTAGCGATCTTGTGGGGTATCACAAAAAAACTGTCTATGTCCGTTCCCCCCTACCGATCCGACCAGGGTACCTACCTTAACCTAATTCCAATTTTGGATATCCGCTTCCTATGACCAACGCGTGTAAATGACTAATGTAACTAAATCAACGATGTCGACTAATTAGTTACTCTAATTTCCCCCCTTTTTACAATTTACTACCGCCAACCTCTAACTTAACCAGCCCCCCTTCTAACCTCCCCCCTTTTTAGCCCCCCTTCTTAAGCCTAAAATTACCTTAAGCGCCGGGTGCTAAACCTCTCAAGAGAAAACCGTAGACCTGTCTCCAGGCCTGCTCAAGTAAAAACGTTCCTCAAAACCGGGGGATGTCGCCTATCCTATTTTACACTTATCTCCTATAATGTAATGTGGATTTTAACGATACCCGTTCTGCCCAACTTGAGAACTCGAGAATTGCCAAATCCTTCTTGGCTGCTTTCCCAATTGGCTGCTTTCCCACTCGACTGGTCACCTGTTCCAGTCCAGTCTCCTATTGGTTCAGCTCAAGTGTCCCTGAACCACTTTCCCACTCGGCTGGTCACCTCTTCCAGTCAAGTCTCCTATTGGTCCAGCTAAGTTCCAAGCTATCTGAAAACCCTTGACAACGCCCCACTTCGGGCACTTTATTCAGTTTACTGGTTTAAATTGCTAGGTTGATCGAAACGATCGAACTTGTAAAACAGTATGGGTATACTATTTAATTAATATAAAGGTTTGATCCAACTAATCTGGTGTCAAAGTCACTGTCTTTTTTCGTTTTATAGTTTTTGTTCCTTTTTCTATTCTTTTTTGGTTTTTGTTTTGCTTTTTGTCTTTTTGCTCGTGTTTTTGTCCCCCTAGTTGCCCCCCTTTACTCGGTTAGCTAAGCCTCGTTCGGAGAGCGTACCAGGAAATTTTCTCGAGTTTTCTTAAAAAGCTATCACGGTACAACCGGAAGGTTTGCACGTTCCTGTCGAACCGTACCGCCGGTACTCTAGAATGGGCATTCAGCCCGAAGCTGTCTCAAGTGGGTTCGACTCCGTAGTCTTGATGTCGTAAACACCCAGGAGCGCCATAAAAACACTATGTAACATTCGTCTACTGCAGTCACACATGAGGCTTAAGAAAAATAGGCCCTATAAACACTGGCTCAAGGGTCAGGGACACCATCTCTTGTGTTTTTCTACCTCAAGAACGGTCGGAGCCAGTTCGGTTCGTTTGTGACATGAGACTACGACCCGTTACAGCTTAAAGGCTACTACTAAAATATCCCCCCACTCTAGAATTAGAAACGTCCCCATACTTAGGTCTCTAGATACCCAAAATACATGAACGCCGTTAAAAACCGGGTTGGAACAATCCGTTAAGTTACTTTTTATTAGACAGTGGAACTTTGATCCATTTCAGATGGATCAACCTAAAACTCGCCTTACCTCAACATAACAATCATAAAACACACTCTAGGAATTTAAATTTGTACTCACATAGTAGCACGCTCAAGAAGTGGGAAATAATCCAGTCGGTAATTAACTCAAGAATTAAATAACGTAACTAAATGAGTCTAATGTTTTATAGTTTGAACAATGAGAACGAGTTTATACTCTAGACAATAGTTTTCTTGTGAACCATTAGGACACTCAAGTTGTCCACCTTTCCACCGAAGGTTCACTCTAGTCCAGTTCCGAATAACACTCCAGTCGCTATAATCCAATTCGTGGGAATGCTCTCGTCTCTGTCACAGATGGGACAGCTCTACTCTCGATTATGATAGTGATGGAAATTGCGAATAGCAATTTCCTACTGCTTTTTCTTACAACTTTCCCGCGTGTGTGACTCAATCGTTCTGAAATTGTTCTGATTTCTTTTTTCTGATTTTCAGTTATCGCGAGAAAATCGTGCATGACAGGTTCCATTCGAAATTTTGAAAAATTAAATTTCACTCCAAAATCAAGTGTTTTTTGCTTCTCTCAAGGTCAAACTTCCAAATATGACCGACTGGCACATGTTTTAGAACCACGAAACCTCTACAGGACCGATCAGAAGCGACCAGACGGTTTGACGATCGTTCCATGGGCTGTTGATAAGCAGCTCTTGTGGGATGTAACGGTTGTAGAATCTTTCGCGCCTAGTATTTTTTGTGCCGGGTGCGTTTGTAACCCTGGTACGTCTGCCGCTGAAGCAGAAGAGCAACAAAATGATAAGTATAAAGATCTATTAGATGATGGGCATCTTTTTCAACCTCTAGCTTTTGAGATTCAGGGCGCGGCCAGCCCCAGCACAGAAATTTGTTTGAGCAAACTTTGTAAGAACTTAAGCATATGCACTGAGGAACCCAGAGGTGGCAGTTTTATAAAACAGAGAATCTCCCTAGCAATACTGATTGCGAACCCCGCTTGCGTATTCGTAACAATAAATGACAAAATAACTTTCGAAGAAATTTTTTATTTGTAACATTTGTATTTTACATTTTCTCGTGTCGAGTTGCGTGTTCTTATTGAAAAAACGTAACCCGTTTTGGTTTTAATTGTAAGGACATCAACACTTGTCATCTTCTTTTATCATTGTCACTTCCATATCTAGAAAATTCCAAGGATTTTGACTGGAATACGTGATGAAGGGACTCCTGACTGTAACCTCGGTTACTATGATACTTTTGACCTTCTGATTACCTTTATAGCTAGAAAAAAGCTCTAAGCTTTCTTTTTCTTTAACCTCACCACGGACAAAAAAACTACACAATTGAAAGGAACTGTGTATTGTGCTCGGAAAGTTCTGTGCTCTACCTTCACGACAACTGACTATCTTTGTCAAACGTCACTGAACGTAGGAATACACTTATGAAGGTAGTTTTTATTTAGATGAAAGTCCTAAATTTATTTCACGCTCAAGTTTGATTTTCGGGATTTGACTTGGATTTATTTCCAAGTTCATTTCGTTTCATATGTCCATGGCAAACTCACCGTCGAACAGGAAAAGTGTATAAGTCGTCACGGAAAACGTGATCGACTTCTAGTTTCGAAAGTAGATTTTAATTCACGTATATCCCAGCGAAATAAAAAAAAATTACTCATTGGTTGAGTTTTTTCAAATTGGGGGTAATTTCGTCAAAAAGTGTATCATAACTACATCATGCCTCTGTGTAGCAGAGCTACAGCATGCCCTTGTTCAGTTGTCCATTCAGTTTTTGGACTCAATTGATCTTTCGTGTTTCTATTGAAAGATCAATTCGACTTAGTTTCGCCTGACAGTTAGCTTAAATCGAGCTAGTTAAGTCAATCTATTCGATTTGTAAAGATTTGTAAGCTGCTCTTTTAATGCAAACTAAGATTTGAAATGACAAGTAAACAAATAGTTATATATTCGTTTTGGTACTTGTATATAAGACTTTGAGCTGAACATTCAATCACTGACATGACGGCTAAGTTTTCAGCCTTTGTGCGAACGTGTGTACTCACCTCATTGGTCGTCATGTATGCGAATGTCTGGATCTTTACGCTTTCCCAGGAGCGCAGAAAATATCCATGGTATTATTTTTTAACAATGTGGAACTTTTTCTTCCAAACTTTGTACAGTGTTTTTGCTGTTATTTCATCGGCAGCTGAACTCACTTTTGGTCTGCCCATACTTTCCAAAGTGATCATTGAATCTATCATTTCATACGCAATTACCCCCTTATCTTCTTTTGTGGTGATTGTGTTCTGGGCTATGTTTCTATATGATGTAAGTATGCCTAAAATTTAAATCGATTTTTGGGATATCTTATGCTATCCCCACTTTGGTACCTATTGACAAATTTTCACCCCTAAAATGAATTAATTTAGCGGTTAAGTAGGCTCGAATTTTGTAACTAGTTCGAGCCTGCTTAACCGAACAATTCTCAGTTATAACGAACAATTCTCAGTTATATATATTTTTGTCATGTACAACAGTTTTTAGCAGGATATCAAAAACGTTTTTTTTTCGGCGGAATTTTTGGATCATTTTATTGGCTTAGGAAAAACTGATGGTGAGAAGTGGCGAAGCTGACTTGCTACCCCCGTGGCTGAACTATACTATTCATTTATACATTTTGTTGCTTCCTGCTGTCGAGTTTTTCTTCCTTCCTAGACCTCGTTTCTCAGCCAGAAATGCGATGCTGTCAATGGCTGGTATCGGATTGGCATATCTTGGACTACTGGAGTTCCTTATGAACGTTTATGAGATCACACCGTACCCCTTCTATCAGTTGATGTCAACGTCTTCACGATTTTTGCTCAATCTCTTCTTCATAGCAGGTGTAGCTCCTGTATGCTGTCTCCTCACGTGGAGTTTCAGAGCAGCTGTTCACTTGTTGAAAGAACAAAGCAAAGAAAAGTTTAACTAGTCTAGCAACGTTGTGTTCCAGTATTTTTTGTCATTCTTGCTTGAAAATCACAATAAAACCTGGTACAATCATTTGGTTTTCAAACATAATAGTAGAACAAAAGCATCCGAGTAGGATCCTAAATAGTCGCATAAGCTTTTGAAGTTATTTTTAGCAGCAAGTTAAAGTTAATAGTTGCTTAATTAACAGATACAATAAGTGCGCTTGCGATTAGCTTTTATCAGATCGAGATATAGACTTTTTTCAGGTTAACAACTTACACAAAATCACTGAATCGTTTGTGCTACTGACACGGCCAATTTTTTTGTACTCAATTTTGACTGCTGGCTGTTACCGAACTGTCCATACCACGTTGCGTACACTACACATATAGCATTAATAGATCCATGCATGCGATACATAGTTTTTCCAATAAGAATTGATTCGTCGAAAGTTTCCGGTTTATTTTGCTAAAAATCTTTGTTTCCTTAGATCGATGAAAACCTGACAAAAAATTTAGGAATGCTTGAAATCAATCCCACAACGACCATCCCAAATCTATCTATCTATATCTATCTATCTATACTATATTTAAATGCTAGTGACAGCTATCTCCCATGTTTAAGCATAATAATTTTGCATGTTTAACGTAAGAATTTTTCATGTTTAAGCTATACCATATATTGCAATGCTTAAGAAAATTTTTCATTTAGTTTTCCGCAAGGTCGTTAATTTTTCAGTAATTTTTTTCGAAACCAAATTAAATCTGTCTGTCTGTCTGTATACCTGCTTTTTTAATTAATTTGATTGTCTGTCTACCCGTCTCCTAATTTTTTTTACTTTCTTCTGTCAAATCTATTATATATTTAAATGCGGGCTTCACTATCTCGCCATGTTTAAGCTTTTTCATTGTGTTTTTTTTTGCATCTTTAACAAAAGAATTTTTTCACGTTTAAGCTATATCGTATATTGCAATGGTTAAGGTTTTTTCGATTTTCCCGTTTAAATTAAGTTTTTATTTCATCAAGTTTGTAATTAGCAACCCAATAGTTGGATGTTGTCAGAGTTTTCCTAGGTTTTGTGATTCTGGCCTCCAGGTATGAATAACCAAATCTTTGTAGTTTTCGAGATATGACGTTTTTTAGGAGTTTCTCAAAATTTTTCAGAGAACTTGGTTTAAAGGTTTTTTTTATAAAACTTGAAATTATCCTCGTAGTGAGGCTCTTTCAGGGTACTCTCAGGAGTTGTGAATTTTGCCTCCTAGTATGACTGCTCAAAACCTTTGCATCTTTCCAGATTTAAAAAAAAAATCACAAAAAAGTCATTAATTTTCTTTTCAAAGTTCGAAATTCTCAACCCTGTAGTTGTGTGCTGTCAGAGTACTTTCAAAGATTGCGATTTTTGCCATCTAATAAGACTGCTCAAATCTTGGTAGTTTTCGAGATGTGCAATTTTTTCAAAACAAAATACCTCTTTTGGAAAACTTAAGGTGAGGTTTCTAAAAATTTGAATTTCCCAACGTTGTAGTTGGGTACTGTAAGATTACTCTCAGGAGTTGTAAATCTTGCGTCCAAATGCGACTGCTCAATTGCTTATAGCTTCCCAGATGTGACGTTTCTTAGTTCATTTTAAATTTTTCGAAGAACTAATATAAAACTTCACAAAATTTTATGGTTCTTCAAAATTTGTATAAAAAACTTGATTAAAATTTTTGCAAATTTTGAAGTTACGAACCCTGTAATTGGGTGCTGTCAAAGCACACTCAAAGAAAGCAGATCTTATTTCCAATATATGCGGTTTATCATGAGTATCGGAGGTGCGTTTTACGCTAGTTATGTTTAACTATGGTTCTTTTTCTTAGTTCAAATTTCCTTATTATTTTTTCAATTGCTTTTTAGCCTATCTCTGCGATGTTGAGAGCTGAACATCCTCCGTCAGGTAATTAATTCTTTTTGGAGTTCAGCTCTCCCGCTCCAACAGGATATTGAGCTGAAGGAATTCAACTACACGCAAGGGGTCAGTTCATAAACTGATTATGCTCATATCTGTCGGTCTGCCAGGACAGTTGAATAAATTGTGTACATTTTGGGGACCAAGTTTACAAATGTTGTATATTTACCACTTTTGGTTCAATCTCGTTTCAGGTAAAATTCAGGATTGGTGAATAGCCAGAACGGAGGTGTGCAAGCGTGTATGAGTTTCTTTTCTTCTTTGAAGTTTACTCCTGGACTACTTATACCCAGAAGTTGACTGTGGCAACTTTTGGGTATACTATACCCAAACTTTTGGGCAACTTTTGACTGTGGCAACTATAATTTTTCAAAGTTTTGGTGTGCACAAGTTTTAGACCTCTTTTGTATTGATTAACTTTAAGAACTAAGTCATTTGACACAAGGTGGGCAACTTTTGTTTCACATTTAGAATTCAATGCTTTCAGGATGCGTCTGCTTTCTGATTCTAAAGTTTTATCGTCTACAAGCTCCCGAAGACCGCTTTTACTTCGGCAGATTACGAAATAAAAAGAGTTGCCATTGATTTGTCTTCAAGGGAGACTTTAAGATGCCTGTTTTGAGCCATTAATTCAGTTGATTGAGGTAGAAGTTCATAGCTGTGTGAAGCCCAATCGGTTGTGGACCGGATGTTAGAATGATCATCAGCATGAGTGATAAGCGGAACATTTTCACGTGGCTTATATATAAGTTGAAGAATGTGGGCGAGAGAACAGCACCTTGTGATACACCTTGTTTAAATTTTCTCATGCTGGATTTCGCGTCCCGAAATTCAACATATGTGAAGCGACCTTGTCAGTAGGATAATGGCCATCGTTTTGTTCTTCAAGACACTTCCTCAAGACTCGAAGACGACAACTGTTGATTGTTCGTTAACCCTTGCGAGCGCAAGTGCCGTGTAAATGGGAATTAGACTTTTTCCCGTAAACAACTTTTTTCTTCAAATCTGTAAGAAATTAAACTTGATTATTTTGAAATTTCACAACTTCCAGACTTCTTCTTAAATGGTCTAAAGGTGACACTCGCCTTTGCCTCCTAAGTCTTAGGTTTCAGTTCCAGACGGACGTTGCTTTCTTCAACTTGTATGGAATTGTCGCCTGTCTGCTTTTGCTTTGTCGGCTTACTGACCACATGGTGTTTTTTGAGCTGCAAGCCTTAATCCTTGAGGTTCTAATTGTTGTTGATTTTTTGCTGTAGTTTGTAACTTTTCATACTGCCTCAGTGTTTTTTCAGCTTCACAACTTTATTCGACCTGATTATTTTCGGATTTTGTTTTAATCTGCTGTGTTAACTTTTTAGTTGTTTGAAGGACAAAATATTATAAATATATATAAGTTGAAGAATGTGGGCGAGAGAACAGCACATTGTGATACACCTTGTTTAAATTTTCTCATGCCGGATTTCGCGTCCCGAAATTCAACATGTGAAGCGACCTTGTCAGTAGGATAATGGCCATCGTTTTGTTCTTCAAGACACTTCCTCAAGACTCGAAGACGACAACTGTTGATTGTTCGTTGCTTATGATGTTTTACCCGTGCGAGCGCAAGTGCCGTGTAAATGGGAACTAGACTTTTTCCCGTAAACAACTTTTTCTTCATATCTGTAAGAAATTTAACTTGATTATTTTGAATTTTCACAACTTCCACACTTCTTCCTAAATGGTCTAAAGGTGACACTCGGCTTTGCACTCTAAGTCTAAGGTTTGAGTTCCAGACGGACGTTGCTTTTTTCAGTTTGTGTGGAATTGTCGCCTGTCTGCTTTTCCTTTGTCGGCTTACTTACCACATGGAGTTTTTTGAGCTGCAAGCAATAATCCTTGAGGTTCTAATTGTTGATTTATTGCTGTAGTTTGTAACTTTTCATACTGACTCAGTGTTTTTTCATCTTCACAACTTTTTTCGACCGTATTTTTGGATTTTGCTTTTATCTGCTGTGTTAACTTTTAGTTGTTTGAAGGACAAAATATTATAAATTATATTTGTTTGCAGCGTAAAAGTTCCAAGTTTGGAAAAGATCGATTTTTTTATGACATGTTTTTTGGCCTTATGATTGCCTACTCACGTATTGTCGGACTATTGGCCACTCAGTAAATATTAAAAGCTTAATTAATGCTGATAGTTGTGTTTCTCGATAGTTTTTCTGAAATTGAATTTTTCATTTTTCTCAGAAATAATATTTTTTGACGTTGTTGTTTTCGTCTCATTTTATATTCGCCAGCGTGCAATGCGTGCATTTTTTTCTGGAATTGAATTTTTCATTTTACTCAATGATATTTTTTGACGTTGTTATTTTTCAACTTTATATTCGCCGGCGCGCAATGATGAATGCACTTAGGTGAATGTGCCCTTTTTTGAGCTCAATTGAAATTCTTCTACTGAAAATACAAAAAACTCTCCAATTACGAGCGTTGAAATAGGGCGAAAAAATGTGAACGATTTCTAGTTTCGAAAGTAGTTTTTAAGTTATAGATTTCCAGTGGAATAAAAACTTTACCAATTAATCTAGTTTTTTCAAGTTTGCCATTAATTTGAGTTGCCATTGATTTGTCTTCAAGGGACAATTTAAGATGCCTGTTTGGAGCCATTAATTCAGTTGATTGAGGTAGAAGTTCATAGCTGTGTGAAGCTCAATCGGATGTGGACCGGATGTTAGAATGATCATCAGCATGAGTGATAAGCGCAACATTTTCACGTGGCTTAGGCATCGAGCTAATATATAAGTTGAAGAATGTGGGCGAGAGAACAGCACCTTGTGATACACCTTGTTTAAATTTTCTCATGCCGGTTTTCGCGTCCCGAAATTCAACATATGTGAAGCGACCTTGTCAGTAGGATAATGGCCATCGTTTTGTTCTTCAAGACACTTCCTCAAGACTCGAAGACGACAACTGTTGATTGTTCGTGCTGATGATGTTTTACCCGTGCGAGCGCAAGTGCCGTGTAAATGGGAACTAGACTTTTTCCCGTAAACAACTTTTTCTTCATATCTGTAAGAAATTTAACTTGATTATTTTGAATTTTCACAACTTCCAGACTTCTTCTTAAATGGTCTAAAGGTGACACTTGGCTTTACACTCTAAGTCT